CATACATACACGCTTTCAGCATGGAGGTCTATATATGAGCTTGCTCTAAAGATATAATTCAGACCTTCTAAATATCTAAGTCTCTTTCTCCAGAATGATTTAGAAGCTACAGCTCTGTGCAAAACTTTGAAATAAAGCAGTCTGAAACAGCAACATCAACACCTTTACTCAACTGATTGGGCTGATTTAATACTTCTTTCTAAGACATTTGTCAGACTACAGTATAAGTCAAAGGCAAAGCTCTGTTCTGAACCTAATGGTGCATCGGATTAGTGGAGCCAGGTCGTATAAATTCTGTAGTCCCTGGAAGGTGGTGATGGGGCTAGCGTCATAGTTAGCTGTTTTTATGGTTTTTAGTCAAAAAAAAAAGGCTTGGTTTGGTGGCCTGGGAGTGGACTTCAGTGCAAGGCTTGAAAGCACACCTCTGGATTCATAATAAGTTATTATCCTTGGTCTGTTTCTGCATCTTGATGTTATGGTATATTAGGTTTATCTTCCTTTTCTGCTAACAAATAGGTGTTACAACACCTATTGCACAGTATGACAAGGCACTTTTTCAAAATAAACAGAAAGTTTCTGTGAATACAAATCAGTAACAGGAAAAGCCAAATCCTCCATCAGTAACTTCAGATCATGCCTTCTATCTTTTGACATGAAAACAACAGAAGGAATCTTTCCTTCCTCTTCTTAATATAAAATGTCTAAATTCCTCTATTCATCACATGACACCAGAGCCACTTACCAAAACTTAGTTGTTTTGAAAGATGTGTCAGGACTGAAGAAGGATGACACAGCAGCATCTTGGGACAAAAGAACTGTGAAATTCCAATGCAAAATCCTGTCACTGATTGAAGGTTACATTCTGTCCCCATATGCCCACATGTTGCTCTTATTAGCATCAATAAGAGCCGTGGATATACATCCAAGGATGGATTTTGGTCCTCAGATGTGACTTAGTAAAATCTTGTGTGTTGAATATAAAGAAAGTCTGTACTTACAAACTAAAATTATCAGCAACAAAGTGGCAGACAATCCTCCCAGAAAATATCTGAGAACATAATAATACCCATAAAGGTTAGAAAAAACCAAGGGATGCATATTGGGTTAATAGAGGTGAAGCCTGGGTGAGAGGAGGAGAGAAGGTTCTTGCAGATGAACCCTCTGAACTCTGGTAGCTGAACTGCAATTTGAAACTTTAAATTACTTAAGATATTGAGGATAGTCTCCTAGAGAGAAAGACTTCAGCATTCCCAGATTGAAACACCCATATTGTTCACTTAGAAAGACATGGAACCATCCCGATTCTTCTCAGCCTTTCAAAACCTCTGTCCAAGCACACTTGACAAAGTAGTTTCCATATCTGCATATATATTTCTTATTTTTGTACATATCTATATTTCTCAGATATTTGTCCGCATCAACTATCATGTGAAAATATATTTTCACAGTAAGATATATCTAACTTTGAAATGTGATCCTTAATTTATGTTTTATTCACCAGTTGAAATGGAGTAAGCATTAATACCAGAAGCAACAATTAAAGAAATAAAAATTACCTTGTACATATTGAAATTATTAAACACGTGATCAGTGCAACAATCTGAGAAAGGATATTTCGCACTGTCCTGGATTCTAAAACAAAAATCAGGAAAATAATTTTTGTGAGTTTTCAGGAAAGTAAATATATGACAGGAGGTGTTTCCAAAGACTACCTTCAGCCTGCGAGGCCACTCTCTTCAGCTTCTTTTTAAGAGAATTCACCTAGAGTGATTCAAAGCGGAAACCTAATTTTCATGCTCTCAGTGTCTCTCAGGAGTCCTTTTCCCCCACAACCATAGAGACACTGTGCCCTCCATGCTCTCAGAAAAAAAGCCTTTCTGAGTAATTGCCTGTGTCAGTTTTTGTCCCCATGCCCTTTCCTCCATTTTCCTCTTCACTTTTTTCTTTTTCCATTTATCACTTAAAATAGGAGAGGAAAAGATGTGAGCAGGAAGGAGTAAACAAGTAAATACCAATTTTAAGATTTTCTTGTTTTCAGTCAGTCATTTAAAATGTATGTTTCAGGAAATAAATTCTATTCTGCAAGGGGCAATATCAATATTGTTAATGGGAGTAATTTCAGCTCACTCTAAAAATGAGGCATATCAGCATAAGAATGTAACATACCTGCCTTGCTCAAAGTCTCTTCATTTGTGTTTATCATAAATGGAGAGCAGGATTTTGAAGCACAGAATGGTTTCTCAGGCTGAAGAAACTCATCATCTTTGGTGAGAGAGGCTCCATTAGATGCTGGAGTTTGCCTTTGTGGCACATGGCTATTATATTCAGAAGAAAAGTCTGAATCACCTGCAAAGAGTGCATATGTAACTGAGATTGCACAAAATAAGATCTTTGAGACTATGTGTTAATGAATTTTGTAGGGGGAGAAAATTAATGACTTACTCGCAGGGAGGTTTCCAAATTGTTAGGGGTAGGGAATTGGCAGGTTCAATGTATGGAGGAGAAAATATGCAGAGTAAAGAGAAAACTGCAGAGAGCGTAACACAATGAAGATATTAAAACAGCCAGGTGGAAGCAGACAATGCCAGATGTTAATGACACCAGCATAAACACCACTGGTGATGACTTTGGATTCAAATTCAGTCTAAAAATGCCTTTTTGGCACAAATGTCTTTGTGGACTCATACTCTGTTTTAATGCCAGGAGCTCAATTCACCACTTAGAATTCTGTTGTTCATCTATCCTTTACCTGCATGCCTATGCAGACAACCCCTGCAAAACCTATAGAAAGAGATACCCAAGTCCCACTAAATATAGACTGTAATGTTGTAGCTCGATTACTTGGCACCTGGTCAGGGCTTACCAGTATCACTCTGACTACCTTCTAGTTTACTGCATCCATCAGGCCAAGGATCATCTACATGGGAGGAATCCGTATTGCTGAGGGCAGTGCTGCTGAGCCATGAACTGGAGGCACCAAGATTGAACAAGCTGGCGAGAGAGCGACGGATTTTCTTCCTTCGCCTGAATACACTAGAAAGAAAAGACACGTTGTCAAGGAATAGAGTTAATTGTTCTTGTTGAGCAGGGACAGAGCTCTAAAGCTTGCAGGACTGACATGTAAGAACCAGGTTCTGGGTGCTGTTCCTAGCTCTGTTCTTGACCCTGTGTGTGTCACCAAGAATGACTGCTGCACACTGCAATAATGTCAGGGAATGTATTAGCAGCTTGGCAATATATCACACATGGTGATACTGGATATTGTGATACCAAATGATACTACAGTTATTGGGCTCTGATACTGCTCTGAGTCGTCTCACGCTACCCATGAGTTTCACCCTACCATATCCCATCAGGTGCAACCTGAATCCACTGTACTTAACTTTTTTTGAACTACATTTTACATAACTTTCTAAACTGTTGTTCTTCTGAAATCAAGAGAGATTTTTCCTTGAGTAAAAATTCCAGGACGAGACCTTTTTATTTTTATATATATATA